ACAAGACTAAATACACTATTGCTGACTTATGTATATACAGCTGTAATCTATTTTACAGGTATGATTTCATTGCTAGATGTGGCTTCAAGGTGATTGATTCACCTGATATTAATACAATAATCTTGTTTTAATTAAATTATATACCAGTATTATATTTACATATTATTCTGTATGATAGCATATATTTCAACAATTATTTTAGTTTTTTTAAACATATTTTATCTCCTACAGATATGAAGAAAAGAGTTGACTGAAAGACACAAGAAACTAATGTCTTAAACAACATTCAACCACAATGAAAAATATATTTTATATTATATAATGTATCACCATCTAGTGTGAACTGTGAACCCATCTGCAAGAAGCGGAGATGCTTTTTAGATTTATTTTAACGTAATCAAAGTATCAGAAACGTGTCTGTAATATTAACTTATGAAGACAATATCTTTAACAGTAATTCAAATACGCAATTGACTGATAAATTAGATAGGCCTATGGTATATGTATTAATAAATTTATTCTGTATGCTGGCAAAGAATGGTACAGAGACAACAAGGCTGGAGGTAAGTGGGTTGGTTATTTAAGATCTTATAACAAAATAGCACTCTCACCTATTTGTAAGCGTAATGCATTAGAGACTCGTAAAACTGCATCTTCTGCAAAAAATAATACAAAGCAAAACTTATTTAGTGTACTGAATTTTATATATGAATTATCGGATCCGTTTAGGCCTTACAAGCCTGATCAGTGCAGCTAGGGTACAGACCCTGACGAAACGCTCAGGCCAGCCCCACTTAGACCACAAAGCCAAACCAAGGCAACATATACATACAGCCCAGGTGTGATTGCAAATAAGTTGAATTTGCCAAAGTCGAGTCCAAAATGACATTGGAAAAATTGTTCGATTTGGATAAAAATTTACTTGCAGATTGTTAAACAATGGAAAACACAACAATTTGGCATGTACAATAAGATCAACTTAGAAATTACTGTACAGTATTTGAGATCTGAAGAGACAATCTCTACTCTGCATCAATGGCGGGCCTGCTGGATCTTAAAAGAGATTCTTCATTAATAAATATTTTAATAGGCAAATGGAATAAACCCAAAAAAAAACCACAAATGGCCACATAATGCAAAACAATTTAAACGTGTGTATATATATATATATATATATAATATATATATATATATAAAAAATCTAAACCATCTTGTGAAATGCTATAATGAAAACAAATAAATAATAGGTGCTCTGATAAGAACATAAGATGTTATATAATCGTATTAATGGAACAAAGCATCACACTCATGCACAGAACTAGTCCTTAATGCATGGACTAAGATCAGCGCAATACACCCTCTTATAAACATTGATGGCAATTGACAAGATTTCTGAAGAGATACTTTCATCATAAATACTGTAAACCATAATAAAGACCTCTATAACCTTATTGTGGTAATGCTAAAAAATATGTATATAATAAATACATTTTAAATGTTATAGTAGAGGAATTTGAGAGTGAAAAAGATGTGCCCCAACTGGGATTCAAACAAATATACAGTAAAAGATGAAATTTTTTTCTGAGAAAATTGCCCTAACTATATACAGTTGAACTTGCCCAAGTCAAATCCAAAATACCATTCAAAACTTGTTTGACTCACAGATTGTTAATTAATGGAAAACACAACAATTTGGCATGTAAAATAAGTTCGACTTCAAATTTTGTGAGTTTGGCAAAGTTGACTGTATAGAGGGTGCTTTTCAAAAGACTAAGGACACCCTACAACTGACTTGTATACCGTACATAATTTTACAGGTATGATTTCACTGCTAGATGTGGATTCAAGATGAATGCAAGATTCACCTGATAATGATTACGGTACAGTAATACCATAATATTTTTTTTTCCAATTAAAATATATACCAGTAACATTACATATTATACTGTATGATATAGCATTCATTTCAACAATTATTTTTTACATTTTTTATCTTGCAGATATGAAGAGAAGAGTTGACTGAAAGATACAAGAAACTAATGTTTTAATGTTATTCAACCACAATGAAAAATATATTTTATATTATAATAATCATAAAAAAATGAAGTCAACGCTCTGTAACGCCATCTAGTGTGAACCCATCTGCAAGAAGCCGAGATGCTATTAAGATTTATTTTAAACGTAATCAAAGTATTAGAAACGTGTCAGTAATGTCAACATATGAAGACAATATCTTTAATACAGTACAGTAATTCAAATACGTAATTGATTGATAAATTAGATAGGCGTTAATAAATTTATGCTGTATGTATTGATTGATGAATTAGATAGGCCTATGGTATATGTGTTAATAAATTTATGCTGTATGCCGGTAAAGAATGGTACAGAAACAAGAAGACTGGAGGTAAGTGGGTTGGTTATTTACTCAAAGATCTTGTAACAAAATAGCGCTCTCACCTATTTGTAAGCGTAATGCATGAAAGACTCGTAAAACTGCACCTTCTGCAAAAAATAATACAAAGCAAAACTTATTTATTGTACTGAATTTTATATATGGCGCTCCCTCCAAAAACCTATCTGTACTTGAGAAAATTTTCAAGAAAAAGAAATTGAAAAGCCAAATTTGTTTTACTAAATTTTATATAGCACTCCCTTCAAAAAATGCAAAGCCAAATTAGTATACTGAATTTTATATAGAGCTCATTACAAAAACCTTATTTGCACACATGCACTAAAATCTTTCATTGACAATCTGAGAAAAGTGACAAACTTTCATAAAACTGCTCCCTGTGCAAAGAAAAGTGTACGAAGCAAATTTTGTTTACTAAATTAAGATATGGTTCCTCCAATAATTTGTTAGTTGCATAATTCATGTGAAATTTCATGAGACTGCCAAAAAATTGTTTATTTCATATAGCGCTCCCTCCAAAACTTATTTGTGCGCATAATGAAATCAGAACTGCATGTTGCAAAAATACAATTGCGAGTTTGTTACAAGATCTTTGAGCTACATTGCATTAGGTGCCCCTAAATTAAATGAGGGCGCTGTTGACGGTAAAGAGCGCCCTCTATGGCGATAGAGGGCATTTTAACGTGAGCAGTGCCTCATTTGATTTGGGGGCGCTATTTAATGCAGGAACCCTCTAAATAAAATGAGGGATTATATTTAGGGGGCGGTATATTATATAAAAATTGTGATGATACAAGGAACAAATAAAGGCAAGAGAATTTGAATCAATTTTGTGTTGAATTTATTCAATTGTAGCAAACTCCTTACAAAAAAAAAAAAAATGCACTTCTCCGCAACCCCTGCAGCCCCCACCAACGGGTTCACCTGACTCGACTACACAGCAAGTACTACCTCAAGTCATGCCCACTACCACTGCCAAGCAGCAAGAGTGCCCGAAGAAACCTGCAAAGTTCTCAATACAAGCTACAAGTCCAATGTAAATTACAAGATGAGTAAAATACCTGTGAGAACCCTATACCCAAGATGGACGACAACCCACGCAAGATCGCCAACCCTCTTCCCACTCTTTGCCAAGGATAGGGACTGTCTCTTATACACATCTACCCAAAAAAAAACCACAAATGGCCACATAATGCAAAACAATTTAAACGTGTGTATATA